GTTATATTCCAGGACATTTGGCATTTTCCAGGACTGTCCTGGAAAAAAATTTAAGTCCTACGGCAGTTTCCAGGACAGTTTTCAAATCTGTTATACAAATGTAAGGGTATATTCCAGGACTGTACATTTTAGAAAACGTAAACAGTCCCAGAACATACCTGTGGGCATTCATATATAAATGAATATATATGTTAAGCAGTAGCAAAACAGAATAATTAAATTATATTATATTATTTAAATTATTATGTTTATATAATGTAATATTTATCTGTAATTGTTATTTGTATTTATTATTCATATTACAAGTATTATTAATATCTACTAATACATAGTAAATATTGAAAATATTTTTAAAATATCTTTTTTACTGTTTTCTATCTTTTATTTAAATGAAGCAAATGTATTCTTATTTGTTCCGGAAAAAAACCTAATTTGGCAGTTTCCAGGACAATCACAGATTGGTAGATTTAGAGACAGCATATGTTTCCAGAACGTTCAACTATAACGACAGGTTCCAGGATATTTTTCTATCCATATTTAATAATGGTTTCCAGTAAATAGACCACCTTATTAAATATATATATAGTATTATTAATACATTTATAATATTGTTAATCCTATATATATACAGATATTCAATAAAGTAGTCTATGTACTGGAAACTACCATTAGATATGTATAGAAAAATGTCCTGGAACCTGCCGTTATAGTCGAATGTCCTGGAAACATATGCTGTCCCTGAATCTACCATCTGTGATTGTCCTGGAAACTGCCAAATTAGGTTTTTCTTCGAAACGAATAAGAATACATTTGTTTTATTTAAATAAGAGATAGAGAACAGTGTAAAAGATATAAAAAAAATATTTTTAAGTGATGTCCTGGAAACTGCCCCTGGACCTACATATATATATGTATGTATATATAGTCGCAGTTTACTAGCGCAACGGCAAATAAATTAATACAATAAATAACGAAAAAATATACAGAGTGTCTCACAATACTTTAATACAGTGTATTCTAAAGGAAAATTATAGAGTCAAAAACTCTAATACCAAAATTTTTAGGCTGCAATAATTTTTGAGTTATGAGCAATCGTCAATGATATCGCGTAGAATTTGCGTGTTCAGATCTGTAACTATATACATATAAACATATACATATACGCGCGTACCGATCTGTCATATCTGTTATTGATTTCTACAAATCAGGTGATATTGATTTTTATTGCACAGCTGATTTATTGTTTCTTATATATGTGCCTGTGTGGGTATTACATACGGCAGTCAACTAATATTAACGAGTTATAAATGTTGTACGTAAAATATTTAATTCTTTCTTAAATAACAATGTAAATGGTTGATTAATTATTACATTTAAATAGAATTATTGTTTGAAAGTCAAACCAAAATTTCAAATTCTCGAGCGCTCGAAATGCGCAGCCCAGTCACGAACGTCGCGAACCACAGACACATGCCTCGACGAGCGCCTCGCACGCTTATTTGTCGAGGCACCGTGCCTAGCGACAGGAACGCGTGTTCCACGCGTTAGCATTAAGCCCCTTGCACAATAGGCGATAGCAATAGCGATAGTGACAGCGACAAGGTTGCCGACAAAGCTATACCTTTGTCGGCAACTTTGTCGCTGTCGCTGTCGCTATCGCTATCGCCTATTGTGCAAGGGGCTTTAGACGAAAGTACAAATAAAATCGGAAAACAAAATCACCCGCTCCGTGAGTGACTGACTACCTATCCCCGTTTCGCGCGGCGCGACTGTCGAATCGAGCGCGAAGCGGGCTGAATCTCTCGAATCGTCGGCTCGTTCGTATTTCAACGAAAATCTCAAACCGCTCGTCTCGACAAAATTACTTTTCGTTCGCTATTAAACTCTTGTGTGCGTGTCGATCTATCTTGTGTTGAATTACAAGGTAAGTAAGTTTCTTCCTGCTCCACATCTTTCAGCGGGGCTCAAAGCTCGCGCCACCGAACGTCTGCGCGCTCATCTCTGAGCGAATTCCAGCGATTCAATCGGGACGATCTCGTCGAGATCGCCTCCCGAACAATTATAAAGTTTATATTTTGATACATTTAAGAAACAAAGTTTATTTTTATTTTTATCACGCGGAGAAATATTTGTGAGAATCAATTTATTTATTATCTATCTTGTAAAAATTAATAACAGATGACAAATCGGTATAAGTGTAGTTACGAACCTGAGCGCGCGAATTGTACGCAATATTATTGCGCAATATTGTTGGCAAATTTTTATCACTAATTATAACTCAAAAACTATTGTAGCCTCATATAGCCCATATTTTCGTATTATAGGATTTTTTATTCCATTTTGCCTCTTAGTAAATAACGTTTATTGATTTGAAATTTATTGATACAATAAATTTTAATTGATATTACGAATCGTACATTGAATATTTTTCATTAGTCAATGATAGGATTCATTAAATCACGAATCGCTGTTCGTTAATAGAACGTACTTGAACGTTTCTTAGCTTAATGTAACATTTAATTAAATCAATAAAAATGTTCATTCTCCCAATGAATGTGTTTAGTAGAATCAATAAACTCATTCATTAAATGTGAAATTGGACATTGGCTGAATGAAATATTTGTTGAGATAACGTATCCACATCAACTTATACCGATTCCCGTAGCGACGCGAAAATTGCGTAGTCGGTCGAAACACGCGGTGTAGATTGCTCGAATCGCGTCGTTCGAACTTACAAAAACTTCGTTATTCGACAACGTATTATTCTCCTGTTGCGAGATACAGTTCGCCTTTCGCGAAAAGAATAACAGTATGCTTTGATTAACCGGGTAGTGACATTTGTGTTCCGTTATTAACATTAATATTCGCGGAACGCGATATTCGGGTGAATGATTTTAGTGCGTGCGGGCAGGCGAGGTCTCGGCAGTCTCGTCCCTGCCTTTGCGTCAAAGGAAAGGAAAAGCGTGCGTTTCTTCTCGGAGGCTCAGGAAAAAGGATCTTCCTTTCAGATCGACTTCCCGAATTGCATTGGACACTGCTGTTCCTCGAGGTCGGAATCGGACAAGGTAGTTCGTGCGGACATTTGATCATCTCGAATGGTCATCGACAAACAACAACGATATATAAGTACATCGTTGCTCGCAATTCCGGCTCACGGATACCGCGTGTACCGCATTTGCACGCTCGTACGAGCACATCCGAATTATCTCGGATAATTGTGTTAAAAGACGACACTCATTCTCGTTTCATAGCATTGCGTCGTTCCCTGGCCCTCGGATGGCCATGCCCTTTGCAATATTCATCTCTCAAGTTTTCGAGTACGCTCGTATATTATATCGTTGATATTACGAATCGTACATTGAATATTTTTCATTAGTCAATGATAGGATTCATTAAATCACGAATCGTTGTTCGTTAATAGAATGTATATTATACGTATATTATATCGACGAAGTGTTTCGCCGCCCGGAGAATTTCCATTTTTAGTAATATTACAATGTTATATACTGACGGTCAAATTATATCCCGCAGCCAAACGTCGCTCTGTGACTGTTATAGAATACAGATAATGGATGATATCTCTAAATCTAGCTGTCAAGATACTACACAGGAAGGAATGGAAGCCCATATAAATAATAATTCATTGGTACCTCAAGGCGTTGAAAATATCAATTCTACCGCTTCTTTGAGCGAAAATATTTATCAGTATGAATTACTTCCAGTTTTCGAAAATTTTTCTTCGCAATTGACAGCTACGACAGCAAATTCACAAATTCATCAAAATCAGAATGAAAATTTCCAACATCCTGACAATGAAACTGCCCAACTAATACTCAAAAACTTAAGTTCTCCAAACGAATTAATTGCACAAGATACATTTCGACTATTAGAGGACAATAGAGACAGAGAGGAATTAAGATTGCTACTTCGAAGTTGGAATCAAGAAGAATTAGTGGATCATCTTCTAAGTAAGTAAATTTCTTGTGTACACTTATGTTTCAATATAAAATATACTTTTTTTAGGGGAGAATGTTGTAATAAAAATACTTAAAATCATAAAGCAGCATCATATCGAAAAACTTCTGAAATCATTCGATCTTGGCACTCAAATATTATTCGAAGATAACTTGGAGAAGTGGAGAAATTCTTTAAACCTTCCGCTGGAAACACCAAATATGAATTTTTCCAACTTAAGCGGACCACCATCCCCAGCTCTATCAACTGAATCTGATGTGCCTTCGACATCGAGATCTCATTTTTCACCTTATAGAAGATCGTCAACTCCATCAGACGAAACTACGGACAGACGGAAAATTATATATTAAACTTGCCAATTTAAAATCTTCTCTTAAAACAGTAGTTGAAAAACATATTTTGCCAAAAAAAAACCAGAAAGTTCAAAACTAACTCAACGGAATCAGAAAATCTTTGGTAAGTTCTTACAAGTTTAAAAATTATATGTCTAATGTCAATGATGTTAAATATTTTAGTTCCAGAAAACGATGCGGAAAGTTGCATTAATGCACTCAAATTTGACAACCTGACATCAGAAGAATTTGACAACTGTTGGAAAGCATGTGGCCAACACCGATTAAAAGAAATAAACAGTGCTGCAAACACGGCAACTATTTTTGAAAAGTGGCCCTTCTATAAAAAACCATCTGGCTTTAGATTGGTATGTATTAAAACGGAAATATTATATCAACTATATTAAACGGAAATTTAGAACTGACAAACGAACTAATTCTTAAAATGTTTTACAGATTGACATGGATTTTAATGTCTTATTTGACACGAGAAATGGTCTGTTAAATAAGTGGGAAAGTTGCTTAAATAATCTTACATCGTTTTTGTGCAAAGATAATCGCATGTAAAAGATAAATCCATAAAAGCATACCTACAAATGTTAAAACAGGAGACACTTTCTGAAAGTAAGTTATATTATTTTGTTAGAAATTTATATTTTTTCACTTGTAAACATTCTTTATTTATTTGACTTTATTTGTATAGATGGTCGTGATGCAATAGTTTTTTGGAGCCTCCACGGTTACTTGGTTCCAACCAACAAAATTGTGAAAAAAGATTTGACTGGCATAAAAAGTACCATAAAATTCACTATTAGAGATTCTCAGGAATCTTTTGTTTACTTT